AGTTCAAATTAGACATGACCTCAGACTCTAACCTCCTGCTCAAAGTAGGGTCAGTCATGAGATCAGACTAAGCTCGCCATCACTTTACCCAGTCATTCCTGAAAAGTGTCCAAGGTTGAAGACTGTACAACCTCTCTAGGTAATCTGTTCTAACACTGGCCTGTGGAACAGAATCACAGAATTGTTAAGACTGGAAAAGAACTCCAGGATCCTCAAATCCAACCATTGTCCTCAAGGTGAAAAAGTTTTTCCCTGTAAGCACTTGAATCTCTTGCACCTGTTGTCTATTGCATTTCCACCATGACCCACTGAAGCACCTGCTGTGTGTTTTCCAATAATCTCCCCATAGTTACTGCAAGGTTGCTGTTAGGCCTTCCTGAAGCCCTGGTACTAATCCTGAGCCAGATCTTATGAAAAAGATAAAAAAGTAAAAATTAACCTCCTAGGGCTAAAGCTGTTCTACTACCAAGTATTTTTTGTGAGAAGAAGAATACGCCAAAAGCCTAATAAGCAGAAATGAATAAACTGTGTAAAAGGCCTTCCTATTGCAAGAACACAGAAACAATTCAGATTTTGATGCAACACTTAAGTGAGATTCAGAAAAAAAAACCTTTATACCTCTTATTCAGTTAAAACAAAATGCACATAGTTTATAGATGCAAGACACGTATCAAATTATGACCATAGATAGTGTATATTACCTTCAGCAATTTCTCTAAATTTTGCTTCTGCTCCAGGACTCTTATTTTTGTCTGGGTGGTATTTCATAGCCAGCTTGTGAAATGCCTTCTTAATCTGGCGGTCAGATGCATTTTTTGGAACTCCTAAGATATCATAATAGCTCTCTGTAGCCAGTATTAATTCCGTTATCATTAAAATGCAGAGAGCAAATGTGAAGACAGATTGTGTAGTAGCCATTTCTCCAGTTCCTAAAAAGAAAAGGAAATATACTTGAAGAACAAGTTGTTTTACATTCTACAACAACTTAGTTACAGCTGTAGGCCGGCAGAGGAAGACCAGCATGGTACAGGAGTAAATGACAGACTTGTAAGCACACTGTTTTACACCTGTCAAACTCTATCACGCTGTTTTCATATTCACAGAATACCTAAGTGAAAATACTGCAAAGTGACATTTCATATGCATAACAACCACTTTAGTGTCTTTGTTTTACACTTAACTGATCATTGTCATACAAAGTTGCAAAAGTAATACACAGCACATTCCATTGCATCTAACATTTCACACTGCCACACCTGAACTAGCTTTTCATTAATCTTGAGTCCTAGGACCCCAAACAGAGTACCTCTAAATTAAGCACAGGCTGCAAAAACTGACCCTACTGGAAGACCAAGTCACTGATTAGCTGGTGCAACAATAGGAGCATGAAAATACAACTGGCCTGGAGTTGACTGTGAGGTGCAGGAAGACGAGGCTATTAGACGCTCATGCTCCGGTTCAGCTTGTTTAGCCCACCTAAAGTGAACATGATGAAGAGCAGATCATTCATTTCCAGAGTTCAGCCAAGTAAAGCACACTTTCCTCTATTTAACAGTAGGCTGGCTTAGCTCATCTGCATATTAGATTGCTTTATAAAGGACAACACCTACCATATCTTTGATATCAAAAAATTCATCTGATAAATATCACTGCATAGAAAGGTTTACATATGAAACCCTCAGTGTTAGAACTAAAGGAAAAAAAAAAAGTCTTTTATACAAGACAAATAGCTTCAACAATAATTAAAAGCTGTAATTTTTTTTTTAACAACTCATCTGTCAAAAAATATATTTTGAAGCAAATATATGAGAACTTAGGGGAAAATTGTGGCATATATCAATGACTTAAACACATAGCCACATGTGATCTCATGATTTTCATGAAGGACAGAGTGAGCTGTTCCTACTAGAAGGTGAGAACAGATAATATGCCTGTGCATATTATATTTGAAACAGAGTGCAGAAAGGCAAATGTTCAAAGATAGAATGCTGGCTGACACCTGACCAGAAGGATGTACAACAAGACCCTGAACATTCCAGATGTAACATGTTCTCCTCACCAGATTACACTGATTTAAATATAACGTAAGAACAACTCAGAGACGGTGCTACTTTCCTGAAAGTTGAATAAACAAATTTACAGTCTGAGCACCATTAAAGTCAGAACACTTTTGCTAGCCAGCAATATTTGCCAGGCAGAATTCAAAACCTTTGAATACCTGATACATATGAAAATTAAACATTTACATGAAAGTCAATTCCCTCTAAACAAAATTAAAAAGCAAGAACCAAAATTGGAAAAAAGAATACCATTTCTAATAGGCAAGTCAGGGGGCTAAAATGAATGCTGTGAGACAAGAGCAAAAGGCCTGCAAGATTAATCTACCCATGCCCTCTTAAGCATTTATTTGGCCAGCAGCCTGCATGATATCAAGTGTTAAGGGGAAGCAGTTGAAACAAATTGTATTTTGATCAGTGTACTTAGATACCAAATGGATAGTTCTTTCCAGTATTCCCCATGCACAATATCAGACATATTTTTAGTACCAAGTTCTCCCACATATCTTCTCTCACCACTTCACTAACCTGATATTTTACCGCTTGGGCACTAAGAACTGCACGCATGTACATCCTCCCATGTTTCTAGGGCTTTCTTCCTGTTTGTGCTTTATAGGTGCAGACTTATGTGTTCACCTCACATATGTGATTGTTTTAATTTACTTCATTAACCCACACCTGCATCATGCTTGCATAATCATCTGCTGCACTCTCTTAAGGTCAACCATCCTGCTTCTACTACTGAACACTGAAAAGAGCTAAAAGGAACAGTTCATGTCCTCCATTAAGAGCAAAACCCTCTTTCTTAAGTCATGAGAGCCAGAGATCATCAAGTTAGTCCTTCAGGTCTTCTGCTCTGTCTCATCATCTCAACTTTTATTATTTTTGATAACAAAATACATCTGAATTTTTCTTTTTCTACAGTTCTTTACATTAGGAGTTCTGTAATGAAGTTCTTTGCTATATTTGATTTCTAAAGCATAGTAAAAAAACAGGACTTAAATTTCAAAATTTTTTAAACGAGCAAACACAGATTTAATGCCGCCCTTGAACAAATCAATCAAACTCAAATTTAAGATGTAAATAAAAACCAAATACAAATAAAACTCCAGTATAAGCAGCATTTTAAACTTCACAGGGTTATCAGAGAGAGCAAGTCTTATATTTAGATACTGTCATTTATTGGATTTACTTTTTAGAAAACACCTGTTTTATATGCTATCAGTATCTTAGTGTTGCTACTGCCAACTACTTCAGCCTTGCCATTCCAAGCTATTTTTACAATCCTTTTCAAAAGAAAGTCTCTTAAATACTTTTGTTTGCTTATGTCTCTTCACCCTGTTTGTCAATCAAAAAGGGATAGATAAGTTGCACTTTCCAGATCATACACTGCAGCTACTTAAACCACATTCCAGAATTTAATAAATTCTGTACAAATTAAGCTCATGCATTAATGAGCTCTTCTAATAATTATCTATATACTTAATTTAGATACATCTGTCAATGAAGTAAGAGACCTTATGCCACATAGTAACTGTTTAATTCTGTTGGGTGAGCAGGTACAGATCTCAACTACCGTTCACCTGTGTATAAGAAGTGCACCGTATAATGTTTATTCAAAGTACTACAGAGGTAATAACAATCAGTTCTTCATTAGTTTATCAACATTTACCAACACCTGCACAATGAAGCAATGCTTGAGGATGATGTACCTAGAATAAAACCTGTCAGATTTAGAAAATAAGAAGCTACTTCTTCTTGCAACACAAATACCCTATTCCATCGTTCTTTGAAAGTAATTAACCAAAATCTTGGAAAATGCTTATATTCAAAGTCTCGCATACCCAGAGAACACAGCGCATCACTAGTGTTCTGCTACTGCTTTCATTACAGAATTGCTATACACCAACCTGTGGAATGCTCACGTCTTGTAATTGTTTCTGCAAGCAATTTACTAATAGTAATAAAGTTTCCGAGGTCTTCTCGGTTCTCCTACCACAACTAATCTGATGAGTAAGCAAGTTTTCCAGTCCTCAAGCAGCTACAGGCAAGTCTGTCAAACGGAGGGGCTTGTACTTGTCTTGACCTCTCCTATACTGACTTGAAAGCATATACAGAAGAAGGTTCCTGAATCTTGCCCTGGAGCACAGTGAAACGAAGGAATCAACCTGGCATCACCCCACTATCCAGACTCCTCAAGACCTCTCTGGAGCCGGACCGCACCATCGGGCGGGGCCAGGCCAGAGCTGGGCAGCCGCTAACAGCCACATTCAGCGACGCTGTCCCACCTCCAATGCAGCCAGGCTGGGAAACGCCACCGCAGCGCGGCCCACAGAGGCCCAAATTCCAAATTAATGCTCCGGACCGAGCCCCAGTGGCCCCTCTCTCCGCTCCCCCGCCTAGTTTCCCACGCTGCCCCAAGCTTCCCAGCGCCCCCCTCCCGACCCCTCCGCGTTCGCCTTCACTCCACCCACTTCAGCAACCTTCCACTTTCTCGGAGCCCTTACCCAGCGGCCGCGGCCCTTCTCCGCCGCCCTCACCTCAGCGCCGGCCCCGCTCCCCCGCCGCCGCCGCCGCCGTTCCCGCCCGCCCGCGCCCGGCGCTCGCGCAGTCCGGCCCCCCGCGGTTCCTACACGAAGCGCTGCGCCATTGGTCGTGGGGGCGCACGTGACGCGGTGCACGCGGGAGGTCGCAACCTCGGGACCGCCGCCACCAGCCGCTGGGGGCGCTGTGAGCAGGCGGTGCCGCTCCCAGCCCGGCCCGGCCCGTCCCGGCCCAGCCCAGCCCGGCCCAGCCAGCCCGCCCCAGCCCGGGCCGGCCCGCCCGCCCGCCCGCCCGCGGTGGCCGCCATGCCGCGGTACTGCGCCGCCACCCGCTGCAAGAACCGCGGCGGCCAGAGCACCAAGGACCAACGCAAGCTCAGCTTCTACCCGTGAGTGGCCGCGGAGCGGGGCAGGGTCTGGGTGGGCGCTGGCCGGGGGGTAGTAGTGAGCCCCACCGCGGAAGTAAATGGCCGAAAGACTCAGCGCCTCGGGTGGACCATGCTGGTGGTCGCCTTGGAACCCCGCCTGCTCCCGGGAGGCTGGAGGGAAACGACGCTGACCCCCTGGGGGAAGGGAAGGTGTCGGGGATAAAGAGCGGACAGCTGGGACGCAGTAGCAAACAGCGTCCCTCGCACCAGACAGGCGGAACTTGGGGGAGGGAGCGATGCCACGGCAGCGTCTAAGCGCCCTGCAATAGGTGCAGAGGGCCCGTGAAGTGAAGAGCGAGGAGAGTCGACTAAAAAATAACATTGGCACTTCTGACTCCGTTTCGCTGCTGCCTCCATGGAAGCGATGTTCCAGCAGGACAGGCAGTAGGGGAGGCTTTGGCTTAATGGTGAAATGTCTTGTGTATGACGGTTTACAGGCCGCGTGAAGGGCCCGGAGGAGTGAGCAAGTAAACATAAAATGATTCCTTAAAATTAAGCTTTGCCACTAGAATTATTACCTTACCTGCATTGTGAACAGAGGCATTGGTGGTTGTTTGGAAGCAGCTGAGTTAGCTGGAACTTAGCTACTTCGGCTGCCAAAAACCAGTTAATGGTGGCTGCATTGTGCTGTCCAGACTCTGCAGGGAGCAGTCGCACCCCAGGCCTGCAGTGACCTCTGCCCTGGTGTGGTTACGTGGCTATCGCTTCCCAGGATGCTGAGTTGTAAACAGTATTTCACAATCCTGAGAGAAGCACAGTGCAGGTAGCTAAATATGAATGTATTTGTGTAGAATAAAAGTATGAAACCATTTGTCAACAGAAGCAACTTAAGAAAAAATTGAAAAATAAATTTCACAATTAGCCTCAAAATCTGGTTATGGTAAAATTTATACCTCCAGCTAGGTTTTCTTTCAGTTTCTGATTAGTCATAGTTATTCCAAGATCAGGAAGGCTGTGTAGGAAGACCTACAGGAAGACTTCTTTGAAAGAAATTTTATTTTAGATTGAAAGAAAGCTTATATCCCTGGCACATTTCTAATATGGAATGCATCATAAAAAAGTAAGGAAAATAATTACTTTTCCCTTATGCCTTAGAGAGCATGTCATATGGATAATCAAAAGAAGTTTGAGCACTGAGACATGTCTGTATTCAAATGTATGGCATCAGTATGGAGATGTTTGCCAAAACTTAGCTGGTTTATCTAGCCTTGGAGTTGTGCTCCATTCTGAGTTTCATGCTCCTGTAGAAGGGGTGCTGAGAGTTGATTTATTGATTTCTTTTGCCTTATATTAGTGACTACTGCTGACATGAATTGCAAGTTTTATTCCCTTGCCTCTTACCACTGCCAAAGAAGTCCACTGCTGCACTGTGTTTGGGGTCTGAGCCCCTTCCAAACCTTTTGTCACCTAATCTCAACTGGCCTAACTGACCTTGTTTTATTTCTTCACTTCTTTGACTTGTGTAGTGATGGCAGCTGCTTCCTCTTTCCATTTCCCCTTTTTTTGTGTCTTGTTTACGCTAGATTCCGTTGATTAGTGAGGAGTTATTGAAGCATGAGCAGATTTTAGCAAAGTCACCTTTAAGCTAAAACAATAACTTTCACTGTCAGACCCTTCTCTTGCTACAGATTGTTTTGTTTTCCATCTGAAGCTGGTTGAGTCTGGGTAGAGCAGTGAGTCCTGTGTTGTGAGGTTAACTGCAGTGGGAGCAAGTGTTCTCAAGGCTTTCTTGGAGAGGGTGTGAGTTGTGACGTGACCCTCAATGAAAGGAGGCCATCGTCTTCCTGAGAGACTTTTTTGGACCTCTGCAGTAACAGCCAGGCTAAGCTGTGTTACCAAGGAGCACGCTCTGTCACACATGCAGTGCTGCCACTGGGTGCCCATGATCGAAGCAGACAGGATTTGAAAAGCCTGAACCTCTAACTTGTCCTTCAGAGGTTACTGTGTTCTTGTTCCTTGCATTATTCCTTGCATTCCTGCAGATACACAGAGCTGGATGCATCAAATGCCTGCTCTATTTCCTTGGTAATTTGAAGACTTACATGGCAGCAAATTCAAAAGGTTGAGGAAGGGTGAAGACATGCGCATTTATGCTATGACTTTCTCTCCAAATCACCTGAGTTTGCAGTTTTGGAGCACAGGGCCTGTGTATGAGTCTGCTGCTATGTATGGCTTTTGGAGGAAGCCTGCAGCTTCAGGGATTTGAGGGTGGCATCACAAAAGCTGAGATTTTTCCTTTGTAATTATTGTTGCTCGTGATTCTCAGGGATATTGTTTTCTGAACAGTAGTCACTTAACAGTGCTCAGAATTCAACTTATGGTTTATGTGTCATATGTGGTTATATGCTAATGTAAAATTGATATACATTATGTAGAAGTACATTTCAAATACCCTGATACCTGACTGAGAAGAGGTGAGAGACAAGAGTGGTCTGAATGTTCATGTTCCTGGTACCATCACTTCTTGACTGTGCATGCATCATAATAAGCCTTTAATTTGCCTTTCATTTGTGTATTGCCTGTCATTAAGTAAATTACATATCGTCACACACTTTCTTTTTCATTTAGTTCTCTTTCTGATGTCTGACCATTTGCATGTATTTTTAAAGTCAATTTTCTTTTTCTGTGAGGGTGTATACTCATCATTTACTTTTTCAGGTAGGTTAGATGATTGAAAAGCTAATTCTAAATTCTAAAATATGATGTGGGCTCCTAATCCTGTGAGAAAGTTTAATTGCTGAAACACAAAATATAGAAATGCTTTGCATCTGCACGCATTTACTTTTTGAACAAAATTTAAAACCTGTATTGGAAATATTCACATTGCCAAATTATCTGGTAATCCAAAGTGGGGCATGTATTAGGAGGTACTCTGTTAAACAGAAAATACTAGTTGTGTCTAGAAAGACAACGAAGCCCTAGAAGTACTATTAATAAAATAAAGACCAGTCTTAACTTTCTTTAATTATGTCTCAGTATTTCATCTTCCTTCAGCAGAACTGCTTTCTGAGCAAGTGTTAGAATCAAACCTTTCAAAACATCTGGGCCATGGATTCTGAAACCCTTAGCTAGTAGAAATCAGAAATTCTACTTCTGAACTCCAGAGCACATACAACTAGAAATAATGTATATAGTGGTTGGATTAACGTGTACATGACATCCAAATTAGCATTTAATAGCTAAAATTTTCTGAAAAAAATGTTTTTATAATCTTTTCTAAAGGAAGGTTACCTTCTCAGTAACAATGAGATATTCTTATTTAAAACAAAGAAAGACAACAATAACAGGGGGGGTTGTATATTTTCTTGTTTGTCTTTTCAACTGCTTTAAAAAGATTCCCACTTCATGATAAAGAGAGACTTGAGAAATGGTTGCGGAATATGAAGCGAGATTCGTGGACTCCAAGTAAGCACCAGCTCCTCTGCAGTGATCATTTTACCCCCGATTCCCTGGATGTGCGGTGGGGGATACGGTACTTGAAAAATACCGCTGTGCCAACTATTTTCTCTTCCTCAGATGATGAGGTAATCTATTTCTATCCTTTTTTGTTTTGTAGTACGAAGCTAACCAACTATTGATGTAATACAGATTTTTTAATCTGTCAGATAATCATGTTTTATTTAAAAAATAGAATTCCTGTCCATCAATAGAGTTTGTCAGCAGGACTGACACAAAACAGGTATGTGATTCCGTAATGTAAAGGAAGAGCAACTTCCCCTAGTTTGATTGGAGGTTCAATATCTTTTCTTTACTGGAGATTACAGAAGCATTTACTATAGAAAACGTTAAATTTCTTACTAGAATAATTACTGTATCATGTGTAAAACAGTCCAAATTCCCTAGAGTTTGAAAAAAAACCGACAATAAAACAAATAAAAAACCCCAAACCACAGTAAGGAAAAAAAAAGAAAACTAAAAACCCAAATGCTATTATTGCTTTTAGAGCTTTTAAAATAGTCTTTTAACATGTAGGACCTGAAGCAAAGTTGTGGAAGACGCTTACATGAATTCTTCGGCCTCTGATGTAATTTTTAAACAGTGCTCATCTAAGTTAGTCCTTTTGCAATACCATAGTACTAAATGATATCTGCCTAATTTTTTAATGCTCAGCGATTTTCTTGTTACAAGATGGTGATTTTCTTTTTTTTTTTTTTTTTTTCTCCTCCAGGAAAAAGATTCTTCTCAGAACAGTTCACAGCAGGTACAGAAAAAAGACCAGGAAGAAACAAACGTTGTGTCAGAGAAAGTATCTGTACCACTTGAACCTTGTACACCAAAGAAAAATTCTGTAATTGCACGAAATGTAGAGGAAAAAGCAGAAGTGGTTTACTCAACTGCACTGAGTGAACCTTTACAAATTCAAAACCTGCAGCTTCCATATGAAGGTGGCTTTCAGGCAGACAGTGTCATTGTTGATAGTTCATCTAAGCAGTACATGCATCCGCCTAATCCTATTCTAATGACAGCAGCAGTCCAGAGCGTGAAGGCTACCAGTGTTCATACTTCTACAGAGGATTCAGGAGGTTGTACAGCTACAGTCCTGCAATTTACAGACCCTGAGTACTTGAATTCATCTCTGAAACTGAACAGTGCTTTAGGGTCGGTTACTGACTATGCAGTTGAAAATTCTGTCCCTCATGTGGTCTGTTCTGGTGAAGTGCAGACAAGTGAAGATGCGGTTTTACTGAGTACAGTCACACAAACTATTGAACAGTTCAGTGGAAGTGAAGAGTCTGTCATTGCTATTATAATGCCAGCTGAGAGTCCAGAAGAGCCTGGAAGAGTAAATACTTCTTTTCTGCCCGTTAAGGAAGAGTTTCTTGACATAGAGGAGACAGAAGTGATTGAACGTGATGGAAATGAAATACTGCAGACTGAACATTCATACTGCAGACAAGACATAGACAGAGATCACCTTTGGCAAAAAATTTCAAAACTCCACTCTAAGATAACTTTACTTGAAATGCAAGAGGTAAAAACTTTGGGGAGACTCAGGTCGTTGGAAGCTCTTATTAGACAACTGAAGCAAGAAAACTTGCTTTCTGAAGAAAAGCTCAAGTTGGTAGAAAACTACTTTACAACACTTGAAGTGACTATGATACAGTAAAGGCTTTCAGTTGGTGGTTCTCAAATATCTTTTTAATCTCTTTGACTGTACTTTTGGACAAATTAACTTTTTTTCCAGTTGTGGTGTTTTAAACATCTAATGAAAATCATGTGAATAGCATTCTTTAAAATGTAACATCAAACAAAGCTAAGTGGTAGAATGTTGTCTGCAAAACATGACTGGCAAGTAAAACTTTTTAAAAAACCTGAATTGGCTAAATTTTCTTAAATGTGTGAATCAAGTCAGTAAAAGATAATTTAACCCTTCTTAGCTGCAGGCTTCTCTGAAACATGCAATGCCTGCATTGGGGACAGCAGTAGAATGGGCAGAATAAGCATATAGGATGAACAATTATATACGTACATATATGCATTGTCCAGTGAGGACAAAATTGCTCTTTAGTTTTCTGCTCATCTAACATTTGTTCTGATAGTTTTTTTGTATGCTTTGATCTTATTAAAATTGTTTCTGCATAAAGGTGTTTTCTTTAGTTTGTTTCTAGAAACAAAAATTCTCATAAGAATATGGTTCCAGTGGACAGGCCCATCTCATTTTTAATTTTTTTTGTTATGAGTCAGCTCAAGTGGAAAGCAATCTTAATACAGATGTATTTGCTAGTTAGTAAAAGGGAAAGCTCTATTTAGTGAATGGTGTCTGCATTGATACTGTTACAGCATACAGCTTGGTAATGCATGTACTCTTAATAATACACTGAAGGAAACAATGTTCTGCAGAGCAGGTTGCCAGTGAAAATAGCAGAATTTTACTTTGCAAGAAACAGAATTGCAAAACTAGAAATTTACTCCCTTTTCCTGATTTTATTAACTATTTCTAGTGCATGGGTTATCACTATAGTAGACAGATACTATAATTCATTTCAAGGAAAATTAATTTGCTTAAATACTTTCTGCTTATTCTGTCAGTGTTACGCTGTATGCTCCAGTACAGTGAAAAAGTCCTAGATCTTCTGATTCCTGACTTGACATCATAGCTGTGCTAGGTGATCCTTGTTACACCCCTTCCAGCTGAACTTTTCTAGTGTATTATATTCTACAACCATTAGATTGCTTGAGGATGTGTTTTTCATTATTCAAAATGGTGTCATCCCCACCACCACAAGTTCAGTCTAGGATTGAAGCGAATGAGTTCCTTTTCAATATTATTTATATTGTCTTTTACACGCTTTCTAAGCTGTTCTTTTAATCTTTTCATGAGGAATTGAGACTCAGTTCCCACTAGCTACAAAGCCGGCCTCCAACTAGATAATAAGTTCCAATTTCAAAATTTTTGAGACTTGGAATATCTTAAAGTGCAGAAGTTGGGTTGCTAAAGCACAGTGCTGTAGGAGGTTAGTCTGCCTTAGTAACCACTGGATTAGGCTTGCTTTGTCCTGCAACTCCTTAACTTCTTTCACACTTGAAGCACAGGCTGTGCTTGGTAAAATTGCTAAAGGACAAAGGTCACTTACAATATGGTGAGTTATTTACCATGTCTCTGACTCACTCATTTTGCCCTCCCTGGAGCAAGAGAACATTCCTGTTCTGCCTTGTATGTTATGAAATCACAAGGGGTGTTCTGTATACTGTAGAAACACTGCTGCCATATCTGATCCTGTCTTGGGAGCATTATCCAGGTGGCCTCTCTGAACTGCACATTTTGTAATGTTTTACAAAGTAAGAGATCTTTCAAAGTGATTTACAAAACGCTATATGAAATTGCTAAATGATTTGGCAATTTTAGAAGTCCCATGAATGTACTACAAATCCTTTGCTAATGCTGTATATTTTAAGACTGACAACCCATTTCAAAAGTTTGCAGTAGTCCTTGAATGGCAGTGAGAACTCAGACATGGCAAAAGAATAGCAACACCATAAGCTCTTGTCTCAGCAAAGCTCTATTCCCCCCAAAATTTGAGAGGTTTAACATGAGATTTGCATTGCTGATACATTTTTGCTTTTACTAAGAGCTTACAGTATTAAAATTAAGAATATTGTTTGTGGCATAGATTTCTTTAAACATGGGGAAAACCCACAATGCTCAATTTCCCTTTCTTTTATGGAATTTCTTGAGTTGACTTTGGCTGGGTGCCAGGTGCCCACCAAGCTGTTCTATCTCTCTACTTCCAGCTGGACAGGGGAGAGAAAACACGATGGAAAACAACTCACAGGTTGAGATAAGGCAGTTTACTAAAGCAAAAGCAAAAATTTCCAAACACACAAGCAAAGAAAGAGAAAAAGAAGGGTTCATTCTCTGCTTCACATTGGTAATGACATTCAGCCACTTCCCAGGAAGCAGCGCTTCAGCACGCATAGGGATTGCTCCAAAAGGCAAATACTGTAAATAAAGAATTCCCCCCTTCCTCTTCCTTGCCTTAGCTTTTATATGTGAGCTGACACCATATGGTATGGAATATCTCTTTGGACTACTTGGGTCAGCTGTCCTGGGATCCTGCCCAGGCCTGGCCGGGAAGCTGGGGAGACTGCACAGATGCTGTGCCAGCTCTGCTCGGCTGCAGCTAAAACACTGGTGTTTTACCAATCCCTTTCCAGCTACCAGTGCACAGCACAGCTCTGTGAAGGCTGCTCTGGAGAAATGAACTTTGTCTCAGTCCTAGATTATAGCAGAAAAACTTGCCAGGTTTACACATTTTCCTTCAGAGTGTGTTTTGGACCAATGGGGCCAGGGTGGATATATTAATTTTAAAATATTCAGCATTATAGTTGGCTTTGCTGCTGACAGGAAGGTATGTCTGGGTCCTTTGCTTCAGTTATGCACTAACCCTGAATTACTGGGCTAATTATTACAAGTAAGGAGAAATAGCATGTTGAGAATCAACAAACCTCTCTGAATTAGATGCTACATGTGCAGTGCAATTTCAGTGTCCCCTAATCATTAAGCCTGGCACACACACAATTGTATTTCAATAAGCTTTATGGGCACCTGTGCTGTATATTACTCCTTAAGATCCAGTGGAAACTGCTTCTGTACAGTTGCAGCTCTGCATCTGAGTAGTGCACTGAATCATCATCATTCCTTTTGTAATGTATCGGGCTTATCTTGATCCAAGTCAAATGTGTATGTTTATCTTTTCAATAAATTTTGATTTACATCAGTTTTTTTAAAAATCTTTTGATTTCCCACTTCCACTGAAGTAACTATTTCTTCAATTAGTTACTTCAACAGATGCAATCTGTTTTCTTAAGGCACCTGTTGAATTGTTCAGCTCTATTTCTTTTCCACTGTCCTCTGGCTACTGTAGAAATTTGGCTTTTGCTTTCTCCTGGATCTTTATTTAAATCCCACCAGTTTTATTAAATTTACCTTTAATTTTATTAAAATTACCTCAAGAAGTAGGTAATGCCTACAAGGTGTTCCATCTGGAATAAACTGGTGCTTATTTTCTGTGATTTTCCATCGTCTGAATTTATCACTCTCATGCTGTGAAATTAATCTCTCATTCAGAATGCAGGGACAGCTATGGGGATTTTTTATTCCTCTCAGACTAACAGCTGTCCAGAGTTTCTCTTTTGTGCTTTCTTGTGTCAGAGGTGCAAATATTGACTGCACTTTTGCATGCATCACAAGCATTCCTTAGAAGTCTGCCTAGATCAACGTCTTTGATCTTTTTTCACTTTTTTTACCACAGTGAATTTGTAATTATTCCACTTAAACCACTTGCCACTTAAACTATCTCTGCCTGCCTGTGAGAAGTGGTGAATTAATTCAATTTTTTTATTTGCTTGCATGTATAGCTTCTGCTTTCCCTGTTAAACTGTCTTTATCGTCAACCCACAAATTCCCTCACTTTTATTCTTCTGATTCTCTCTCCCTATCCCACCAGGAAAAGTGTGCAAGTGGCAGCATGAGTCTGTCTTAGTTTCTGACTAAGGTTTAACAGTGACACACACGTTGTTCCTGATTGCTTTATGCACAACTCAATGCTCCTCTCCCTGGATGATGCCCCTGAACTGCAGGTTAATGTCGTACACACAAATCCACGTCCTGTGCTTCAGCCTATCCAGTGCTGCCTCAGCAAAGCACTAGGACAGCTGAGCAGCCTTTCCCTGTCACAGAGAGATGGTCTAACACCCAGGGACCATCACACACACAGAGAGCCCATCACACACCCAGGGACCATCACATCACCTCACCAGGGCTCATGCTGGCAGGGCTGTCTGCACTCCATGGACTCCTACAGCCGTAATTAATTATGTCAATGGCAGTGGTAAGAGACTGCTTGGCAGAATATGTTATTTCTAAACCCACTGAAAAAGTGCTGAAATTTCTTTGCTCTTGGACTTTTTAAAGCCTTTAAGGCGTTAAAGTCTTAATCATAATGACAGTGGATCTATGAGATGCAGAGCCTGCTTTTGTGAGAGATTGCAGCTGCACAGTAACAGGCACCACAAAAGACCCACCTCCTTTCTGGGCAACCCAGGAGACACTGTGAGAAGCAGAATGAATTTTTTAACCACCCAGGCAGAACTGGACAAATTCCACATCCAACCTTGAGGAAAGGCATAAGACATGGCTGAATGACTTGGTTCCTTTCCATAGATTCCACAGGCAAGAAGCCTCTTGCTGTGTTGTAAGGCTGGAGCAGAAACTGGGCCTTGTGAGACACTCAGGGAAACGGGAGGAAGGAGTGGGCTTTGGCTTTGGCATTGGCAAAGGTGCTCTTCTCTGGGGCATCTCTGCACCACTGTAGTGCCAGTTGCAGGTGCTGTCCCCCTCGTTGTGTTCCCAATGCCAGACACAGCTCAAAGTTGCTGAGAAAACCAAGTAATGTGCTAAATGTCATGATTTGCCAGCATCAAGGCAAGAGGGGAGAGAAACAGAGAAAGGGAAAAGGGCAAATTATATGCTCATGAATTACTTTAAAATGAGCTTAGATTTGGACAAAAATGTATTATCCTTTGTTCATTTATGAGACAATTTTCTGACTTACACTAAATTTCTGCAACCTCAAGCAGATCTCTGTAAATGCTTTATAATTTTATTCCCACTTACAAAAAAATCACAGCTCTATTTTCTCCTTTATTAGAACCAGTGTAATGGATTTCTAATTTACCAGACCGTTTACTGCTGCCAAGGTATGAGTTTCAGCCAAAAGATTTTCCACAAAGAAAACAGTAAGAGTAAAGCATCTAAATGGACATTTTCCAGTAAACATATCTCTTGGCATTGTTAAATATTATGGGGTACATTGCAAAAAGTCTATCACTGTTTAAATACTTGTCTTTCCTATAAAGGATTGACATTTCTGATGGCACAAAATTTATAAGCCTTTTTCATAGTCATTCAAAAAGGTTAAACCGTAGAGGTGCCTGTGGAACGTATGTCTATTTCTATATAAAAATAGTATTTATTGCATAGAACCAAAGCAGCACTGCTCTCTGTAAACAGCAGGTGGTGCTACGGGATCACGCGGTAGACGTGAAACTAAAGACATGCATTTTATTTTTATTCTGTTGTTG